CTCCGAGCTGCAGGTCAGAGCTGCTTTCTTGCAAGTGGGGCGCCCCGCGGCCAGTCGGTCCCCTTTCCGCGGGCGTGTGGCAAGCGGCCGGCAGCGCTCTCGCCCGCCCGGTGAGCTTCCCCGTGCTCCTTGGGCCGCGGCTCCCGGAGGTCCAGGCAGGGAGGGCCCCCTCGCAGCGGCGGCTTCCTGGACCGAGCCCATCGCCGGGCCCTCCCCACGCAGGCCGAGCTGCGCCCCCCAGGAGCACCCCTTCTGTGAGGGGGATTGCGGCCGTTGCGGCGAGCACCCGCTCCTGGGCAGGCCCGGACAGCCGGCCACAGGCATCGGCGCGCTGGGCGAGCCCCTGTTTGCAGCACCGCAGCTCGCCGTTCCCGGGGCCGGGAGCCATGCGCGCGGCGGGGCTGCGAGGAATTGCGTGGGCTCCCCTGCGTCACCGAGCGGGCAGGGCCGGTGCGCTTCCCCGGGGCGGACGGCTCCCTGCTCGCGGAGCTTGCGTGGAGGCGAGAGGCCCGAGGCCACCCGAGGCAGCCCCGGTGCCGCCGGCCTGGCTCGAGCAAGCTGCTGCTGGCCCCGAGGCGGGAGCAGCCGCCCGCCGCCCGCCCCGTCCTCAGCCGGCCTGTCCGGCCCTCCTGGAGGGCGTCGGTTCTCCCAGCCCCGTGAATGGCCTTCCCGCAGCAGACGCGCTCCCAAACCAGAGCCCCCGGTCCCCGTGGAGGCAGCTCGCACGCAGGCCGGGGAGGGCGGGTGCTCCCCGGGCGGGTGCCCCCCCGCCCATGTCTCTCACGCATCCTCGAGGTGTCCTGCGGGGCCTTCAGTTTCGCCCCCGGTTTCGGGGCTCTCTGCCGGGGCCCAGTGGAGGCTGGTGACAGTGTCAGTGGGGCCCGCGGCCCCGCGGCTGTCAGGCGGAAGGAGCTGCCCGTGGTGCTGAGCCCCAGCGCCAGGCGACTTCGGCGGCACGGACAGCTCCGAGCAGCCAAGCGTGGCACCACGGCGAGCTGCCCCGCGACGCCGGGAGCGCCGCCCTGCGCCCCAGGGCCGTCGTGATTTCCGAGTGGCGCATCTGCCCGAGGGAGCGCTGCTCGCCCCGGCGCCCGCCACCTTCCCACCGGTTCGCCTGGCCACGCTCTCCCCCGAGGAGCTGCTTGTTCCCCAGCCTGCCCTGGCACGGCACCGTCCAGACACTTGGGATGCCAAGCCCAGCCGCCCCGGCAGCAGAGCCCTTGGCTGGGGGCGATGGGGCTCGAGGGACGCCTGAACGAGGCACCTGACACCTGAACTCGAATGGGGCCGTTTTGGTCGGAACCTGCTGAAAGAAGGAAGCAGCAGATACCCTGTTCTTGCTGGTTTATTCCAGTTTTTCTCTCCCTCCCTGCCCTCGCCGCCTCCACTTTTTAAGAAATTCTCCCAAGTGGCTCTTCATTCAAAGGGAATTAGGAACCGTAATTTCTGAGGCTGCAGCTGTCTTTCCTGCAGTGAATGGTTTCTGGTTGGAATTATGGATTAAGGGTGCAATCCTATACATGTTCAGAAAGAGGCCAGCCCACAATGCCAGCCAGCAGAGAGTGTGACTTGGAGGATTCTTTCTGCCCAGGCATGCCTCGAATGATGCCCTCTTACTGCCCAGAGGGCAGTTTCTATGAGCAGCATAGAAATTCAATAAATAAGGGAGTCAAACAGGGAGGAGCAGCCTTGTCTCACCCATGGGAGAAGAGGGAGTTTCAGACACTGGAAGCATCCAGGTTTTATTTTTCCGGAGCCACTGATCCTCTGGGATGCTTTCCCAGAGAAGGCGCAACCTGGCCCACCCAGCTGTGGCAACTTCCCACGGGAGCAATGGCGTGCCAGAGGGAAATCTCCGGGCGTTTCTGTCCTTGCACTGGGCATCTGGACAAGTGTCCGCGTTTGTCTGGGAACGTCTAGCCGGCTTCCGCGGAGAAGCACTCCTAGGCAGGTCGGACTCAGCTCCCACCGTGCAGAGTGGAGGTGAGACAGGCCGCATGCCTGTGCATCTCTAACTTGTGCTTCACAAGCCCTGCCGAACTGAGGAAGGTTGCGGGATTGTGCCGGCAGGGTGGGTGCCTCTTCAGGTCTGCAGCCCCAGAGAACTGGCCAGGAGGTGCAGCGGGTACAGCTGGCTGCTCGCGCTGCTCGTCCAGCCCGCCCCTTCCCGCCTGCAGGAATCGCTGCATTGGTCACATCCGGGTTTTGCACTGCCTTGGGAACAGCCTTCCTGCCCGGTGCCCTTCAGATGTTTGGACTGCAACTCCCATCAGCCATAGCCAACAGTTGGAGGGCCCCAAAGTGGGTGAGGGGCAGGCCACAGAGGGAAGGGTTTCTGCGACTTGATTCCTGAAGGCCTTTTGGCCCAGCTGGAACCTGCTGTTGGCTGAACTGGCCTCTCCCCACCCGCAGTCCTGTGCTTCCTGCCTGGGGATTCTGGGAATTGCGGTCCAACACATGCAGGGGGCCAGCTTGGAGAAGGCTTCTGCAGAGCACGGTGAGTGCCTTCTCCATGCAGACGCTTCCCCCTTGGCCCTCCTGCTGAATTCAAGTTCAGCGCCTCTAGTGAGACTCTAGGCGGTACCATTTCAAATCACGCCCAGAGCCGTGCCACCTTCCCACTGCCCAGCCCAGAACGGCCCCAAGCGAGGAAGCAAACTCCATCGCCGGGTGCGTGCCTCGAGTAAGACACCCGGGCCGCCCAGCCGGCTCTTCCCAGGCATGGGCTGGTTTAGGCACAGCTGCCAGTCTGGGTACGTGTGCGGCCCTGGCTCTTTGAAAGGATGAGCAAAACAGAGCATATAAATTAGCAATTGGTCTTACAGTTCAGGCGGTTTAATCAATGAATCTGTGTCACTGTTTGGTGACTGCTGGGTGACGGAGAGGAAGCGCAGGGGGGAGAAATTCTTTGCTGTTGTTCAGCAGCCATCATTCTGATTTCTGCTAGCTTGTCTGGTTGCAGAAACAGGTCAGAGTTAACTGGTGGAACTCCCTGCTGCAGATGAAGCGATGGCCACCATTTTAGGTGGCTTTAAAATGGGAGTGGGACATTCGTGGAGGGGGTGGCCCTCCCTGGATATGACTCGGGCAGCTCTGTGCCACCCTGGTGTCAGTGGCTTCGGTGGGAGCGAGCGAGCGCGTCTCTGTCTCGCTTGGAGCTTTCAGTGGGCGCCAGGGTAGCCAGAACACCGGCCAGGAGCGTCTTTGGCTGGGTATCACGGGCTCCTCCACTATCCTGGTGTTTCCAACCCTTTCCAGTGCTGAAAACGTTAAAAAGAGAGAGTGAATTGTATGCTTGGCATCAGCCCCATCATTCAAATCGGCAGAGCAGGACTCTCATGCGGCTGCCAAGCCTCCTTTGAGGTGCTGATGTGACTTTGGCTGGCAAAGGCAGGTTTCAGTGTATAAACATGGGCTACCAGTCATGGCTAATACGCCCCCCCCCCCCCCGCATGGCAAGTCGGCGAGCCCGTGGACGAGGCCCGGTCGCTGGCATTCCCAAGTGGCCCTGTCTACTTTCTGTGGCTTTCACAGTTCTTTCCCATTGGAAGTGGCTGAAATGCCCCCCTAAGGAGGGGTGACTGGGCAAGAGGAGCTTTAAGCTAGAGGGGCTTGCTCTCTCTGGAATGTTGACCCTGTTCCCATCCGTCTGCTCCCCACTCAGCACTGGAATGCGACCCCTGGGGACCTCTCTGGAGAATCTGGCCCTGGGACCATCCCGGGAGGCCTGGGTGGGCTGGCACCCCTGCCCTATCTTGGTTCAGTCTGGGGAGTTCCAGAGAGCGAAGCGCCAAGGGCTGTGATTTGTCCTGCGTCCACACCGGGCACTGGCAGCCCGAGCGGCAGCCTTGCCTTGGGCCCCCGCCTCCCCGGAGCAGCTCCGATCGGCCTTCCCTGCCTGCCGAGGAGGCTGTCCCCGTTTCAAAGCGGCCGCACCCTCCTCACTCCAGTGCTTTGCACCAGATCTGTGGCCTGGATGTGTCAAGCGCACTCATCTTCCTCGTGGGAGAGGCGCCCCCGTCTCTCCGCTTCCCAGCATCAAATGCTCCATCCTGTCACTGACGCCCGGGCCAATTAGCGCTCCGTGGGTGAGATTTGACCTTGGGTGTGGGGAAATGTTTCAGGGCCTGTCATTTTGTGGGAAGTCCGTCTCTTGCTCACTTAGAAGAATCCGGAGAGACATCTCGGAAAAGGCGGCAGCCGTGCTTCCTGGACCAGTGCAGGCTGCATCAGGGCTGCTCTTCCAATGCCGGGGAGAGGCCCCTTCTGTGCCGGGCCTCTGCCGGTTGGTCACGGGCCGCTGCCACGCGGGCCAGGTGCTCCCGGGGCCATGCCTGGGGATGAAAAGGGGGCCAACTGCCCCGGAGCCCTGCGAACAGCCCCTGGGAGAGGGCATCGCTTCATTCCGGTTGTCATGGCAGTGCTGCCATTTGAGTGAGTTTGAAATGCAAAGCTGCATGTCCTTGGGTTTCTTTATTCCAGCAAACCCTCCCCGATAATCTGGGCTGGCAAGGGGTGTGGGAGCAGTGGGAGGGAAAGGGTGGCTGCAGAGGGAGATGCCCGGCCGCCTGAAGGGGCACCGTCTGACATTACCTGGCTGCCCCTCACCTGAAGGAATGGGCGTCCCTGTCCTTCTGTGTGGTGCTCATGGGCCAGGAATCCACCCCCATTTCCCCTGGATTAGGAGAAACCTGCCACAAGCCTGTGCCAGGCGGCTTGTCACATAATTGTCATCTGGGAGCCTCTTCGATAAGCCTATAAATTTAGCCGTGTTGCCAGGGGGCCTGAATGCCTGTCCAAAATTCACCTCCACACTCCAAATAGGAAGACCCCGTCTTTCTGGCAGCTGGTTGGGGAGGCCCAGGCGTCGCCCCCGCTTGGAATGCCCCGGACTGCAGGCATTTGGGCTCGGGTGTTTCAATCTCTAAACTGCTCCAAGTCTGATCAAGAGGTTTGCTTTTAAATGTTTGCCTCAGCTTGTAAGTCTGCAGTAGCCTTTGATGCTGGTGTCCCAGTTTTATGCCTCCGAGGACAAGGGGGAGCAGCAGCATCACTGGAGGCCCAATGAGGGGGAGGCCATGCAGGTTGGGGATTTAGTGGGGAGGGGAGGGGCCGAGGCAACTGTGCAAGCAAGAAGCTTCCTCCTCTTTCTCTTCCTCTCTTCCCTTCCCATCCCAGGGCAGGGCGAGCGCCTGCTGCCGCCTGCAGCAGAACCAGGTGCTCCTGACGGCGCTGGAGGTGCTGCAGGCACGCTGTGCTGGCCTGAGGAAGGAGAACAGCTTTCTGGTAAGGCCCCCACCCGCGCGAAGGTGGGGCTGGGCTCCCTCCCTGCCTGCCTGCTGGCCGAGCCACCTGGGACTGTGGAAGGAGGCGCCGGCAGCACCTGGGAGGCCGTGTCACCCAGAAACCTTGTGCAACCCCATCAGGGAACGGCTGGAGGAGCTGCAGTGCAGAGCTGGCCAGCCAGCAAGGCCGTCCTGGCTCGGCGCTGGAGAAATGCAGCGGCTCGGCTGCTCCCCCGGAGGTGCTTGATGGGAGCCCCCTCGACCCTCGAAAGGCCGAAGGAAGCGCTCCCCGTGGGGCTGAGCAGCCAGACGCTCCCTGGCACAAGCCTCTCTGAGGGAGAGGGGGAGGGCAGCCCTCACCCGCTGCCTTCAGGGAACTCGCCCCACCTGTTGGCGCCCCGAGCCCAGGGCCTTCTCCCCCTCCGCCCACACCGTCCAGGGTCCCCAAGCATCAGTGCCTTGCCCATGTGCAGGGAGCCCTCCCTGGGCCAGGCTGGGCCGCCCGGCCGTTGGCCCAGGATGAGGGGGCATGCGGCTTTCCAGGGATCCCCGGCTGCACCTTCCCACCCCTAAACCCCCAGGCTTAGCTTGGCACCCAGGAGATATTGATGTGGGTGCCAGGTGAGCTTCTCTGGGGAGGATGGAGTCAGGGGGCGAGCCCCAGAAAAGCGCTCTTCCACATCTCTATCCTCCAAGCCGGAGAAGAAGCTGGAACTGGAGAAGGGCAGGCACTCCAGATGTTTGTCCTAAAGCTCCCATCAAGCATCAACATTGATTTTGCTGGCTGGGGCTGATGGGAATGGCAAGGCAAAACATCTGATCTGATCTGATCTGATCTGATCTTGTTTTTTTCTGTAAGGGACCTAGGGCAGCCTACATAATCTTCCTGCTCATCTTCATTTTATCCTCACAACAACCCTGCGAGGTAGGAGAGACTGCGGATCAGTGACTGTTCCAAAGCCTCCCAGGGAGTTTCATGGCCAAGTGGAGTCTGGAATCCAGATCTCCCGAGGCGCGGCCAGCATTCCCTCACGGCACCTTTGCAGGTCGTGCTGTATCGTTCCCCATCAGCCCTTTGAATCAGGACCGGAAAGAAAGCCGGGCCTGGCTCAGGCAGGAGGGCCCCCCCCCCCACAGCCTTGCTGTCTGCAGTGTCGCTTTCATGTCCCTTGGAAGGCAGGCCGCTGCGAAAGATCCTCAACCGAACATGGACCGAGCGTGTCCATTGTGCGTATGTCGTTGGTGGAGGAGGATGGGAGAGCTCGGCTGCGGAGCCGCGACATCCGAGGGCCGTTTGTGCTCAAAGGCACCCAAAGTTCTCTCTGCCCTCTTTCCCTCCTCAGCGCAAGAGCTGCTTCCCGGAGACCCAGGAGAAGGTGAGGCAGCTCAAGAGGAAAAACGCTGAGCTTGCCGTCATCGCAAAGCGCCTGGAGGAGCGGGCGCAGAAGCTGCAAGAGGCCAACCTCAAGGTGGTACGTGCCCTGCCCCGGCTCTCCCGCCCCACAGCCGGCATGCCCTGGCTCACTCCCCTGCTGGGGACAGTGTGGGGCGCTGGGGGGGGGGCTCCAATGTGCCCAAGCTATTTGGGCCACATCAAGCAAAGGAAGCCATCGCCAAAGGGGGCCGTGGGTGCCACGGCTCCACCAAGGTGGGGAGCTGCCTCCTGGGCCTCCTGGGGCAACCCGTGATTGCGCTGGTCCTTCCCTTTCCATGGGGTCTCCATTGGGGCTGCTCATTCCTGCATCAGGCTGGAGACCAGAGAGCTCTGCTCCACAGGTGCTTTGGAATGCGAGTCACTATTCTGACCTCCTTCCCACCAGTCTCTTCTAGACAGTAATTTTCCCCTGCTTAGGTCACTCATAGAATTAGATTAGATCATTCATAGAAACATAGAAACAGAGCGAGTCAGAAGGGGCCTCCCAGGCCATCTAGTCTGACCCCTGGCTCCACCCGGCTCCGCTCATGACATGCCCACCATGTGCATGACCAGCCTCTCCTTGAACACCCGCACCGATGGGGCCTCAGCCACCTCCTGTTCTGGCTATGCATCCAAGGGTAGTGTTTGCCCTCTTGACCTGCTGAATCATGTTCAGCCTGTAATCAACCAGCAGCCCAAGATAAGTGCCAGACCTTGCACTTATCCGCATTGAACGCCGTCCTGTTGCCTCCTGCCCACTTCCATAGTTTGTCCAGCTCCTTTTGGATCCGGAGTACCTGCTCCTCAGTTGTGGCCACTGCCCCCATTTTAGTATCATCTGCGAATTTGATCAGCAGACTGTTCACCCCTCCTTCCATGTCATTGATGAAAAGATTGAGCAGGATCGGCCCCAGGACAAAGCCCTGGGGGACCCCGCTTGTTACTGGCCGCCATCCCAACGATTCTCCGCTAATGGTTACCCTCTGCTTTCGGTCAGTCAACCGTGCCCTAATCCACCGGACAGTGCTTTGGTGTATCCCGAAACTCCTCAGTTTCTCCACCAGGATATCATGGGGCACTTTGTCAAAGGCCTTGCTGAAATCCAGGCATACCACATCCACTGCATCCCCTCCATCTAGCCATCTCGAAACCTTGTCATAGAATCCCACAAGGTTCGTCTGGCAGGACCTGTTTTTGCGGAAGCCGTGTTGTGTGGCTGCCAGCCTCCCTTCCCTATCTAGCATCGCTAGATCTCTCTCTATTATGAGCCTTTCCATTGTTTTTCCTACAATGGACATAAGGCTAACGGGTCTGTAATTCCCCATGTCCTTTCTACTACGCTTTTTGAACATTGGGACCACTGTCACCACTCTCCAGTCCTCTGGAACCTCACCTGTTCTCCACGAGGCCTCAAAAATGGAGGCCAGCAGGTGCGAGAGAGCCCCCGCCAGTTCCCGAAGTACCCTCAGGTGTAACCCATTACTGCTTCTAAACCAAAGACCGGGCACAACTGCCTGCCCCAGAAAGGACCTGCTCAGTTCTTGACAGTCGGGAATGGGTTGGCAGGGGGTGGGGGGGTTCCTCTGAGCTTGGATAATCCTGACATTGACTTGCCAAAAAAACAAGCTTTCTTCAACTGCAAAGATTTTTTTTTTTTTTAATCTCAGCAGCTGGAATTTCAGAACCCTAAACTCACTGGCTTTTTCTCAGTGCGGCCTACTTGGAGGGATCTTGTATGACAGAAAGATTTAGAACCAGAGGAAAAGAGAAAAGGAAGAAGGGAGGAGTTCCCTAGTTTCTTAGCCTTTCATTAAACAGTTTCCATGTGTGAATTGCACAACATCTAGAAATGGAGCCAAACTCAAATGCCTCCACGTGTGGATGTGTCACCTCCCTTCTGTATGGAAAGGTCTAGAGCACTGGCAGAGCCTTTGCTTTCCATACAGAAGGTCCATGGTCCTTGATTCAGAACCAAGAGGACTAGAATCTTACTTTAGTTCTAGAAGGCCAACAGCTCAGTGGTGTAGTCCCTGCTCGGCTCTCAGATTTCCAGCATCTCTAGGTAGGGCTAGGAAACTCCTCCCTGCTATGTTGAAGAACTGCCAGTCAAGGTCAACATTACTGGTCTAGATGGACCCAGGACACAGTGTAAAGGCAGATCTCTATTTCAATCAGTCTTCAATTCACCACCACGAGGACTAGAATCTTACTTTAGTTTTAGGGGAAGAAATGTAATTCAGTGGTGGAGCCCTTGCTTTGCATGCAAAAGCTCTCAGATTCAATCCATGGCAGCCTCTCCAAGCCTGACTGGGAAGGATCCCTGCCTGAAACTCCGGAGGGCTCCTGGGGCAGATGGACCAAGCATCTAAATCAGGATAAGCCTGCTTTGGATACTCCTATTTCAACCAGTCTTTAATTCATAACTGTGAGGACTGGAATCTTGCTTTACTTTTACTGGTGTTGAAAGGGACTTAATTCAACACCAGAGATCCTACGCTGGACTCCCATACTGTCCAAGAGCTCTGGTACTGAATTAAGTCCCTTTTCCTAAAAGTAAAGCAAGATTCCAGTCCTCACAATGAGGAGGACTAGAGAAGGGCCTGAGTTGGAGCATCGCTGGGCAGGGCTGGGAAAATTCTAGCCTGAGGCCCTGCAGAGCTGCAGGCAATCCGTGTAGACCCTGCAGCCGGAAAAGGGCGACTTGGCAAGGAGGAGCTTTCTAGGCTCGTTTCTGCCACCCTGCCCTTCTGCAAAACAGCCCGAAATTGGGACTCTTCTGTCTCCCAAGCAGGTAAATGCACCAGTCGCTGTGAAGGGCTCCTGCACCGGCCTCTGCAGGAAGGCGCTCGCCCGCCAGCAGGCCACGGACCTGCGTGAGCGAGCCAGCCTGCTGCTGGCGAAGGACAAGCAGATCAGCGCTTTGCAGCAGGAGTGCCAAGAGCTCCAGGCAAAAATCTCATCTGGAAAGGTGATTGCTGTCCCCCAGGTTGGCCTGGCCCGGCCCTGAGCCACCCCCAGTGGGCTACAGCTGTACCAAGCCAGAATCTCTGTGGGGGGAGAGCGTCCAGGCAAAGGGGTGCCTGCATAGGCAAGCTCTCCACGTGTCCAGACTCCATATACCACACAGGCGCTTGCCTGATGAGGGTTACATCGGATCCCGGCTCACCTGCTCTGTGGGGTGGCACAACTGAGAGAGAAATGTGCCACCTTCTCTCTTGGTGAGCACCAGCACTCAGAAATAGAGCGAGCCAGAAGGGGCTGCTGGGCCATCTAGTCTGACCCCCGGCTCCGGCTGGCTCCACTCATGACATGCCTGCCACGGAGCCAGGCAGCTGCCTTCTGTGGCAGAGAAAGATCTTCGGCTGCCACAGAATGCAGCTTTTCCATGAGGCAGGGGAGAGTTCCTTTTGGCTGGGTGGCGGCCCAGCTTGGTGGAGGCCGGGTCAGGCAAATGGATTCAAAAAGGCATCTCAGCCATGAGGAGATGTTCCACATTCATCGGCACAGTTGGTTTTATTTTAAAATTATTTTGATACCGGTATGAAGTTCAGAGAGCAAGCACCCTCTTAGAAGGGCACAGTTGCTGAGCGGTTTTTAAACGAAGCTGTGTGACTGGTGGCAGGGACTGATCCTGCAGCCGTCCGGCTAGTCAGGCGAGCTGGTCCACCGCAGGGGAGGCTCCGCGTCCGGCCTGATGTTGCTTTCTGCGCCTTCTCAGGGAGGTCCTCACCCGCCTCTCCAGGACTTCCGCCAGCTGCTCCGCGAGTCTCAGAAAGAGGTGCTGCGCCTCCAGAGGCAGATTGCACTGAAAGAGGCCAAGGCGTCCCGCAGCCCAGGCCTGGGAGATGCTGCCGTGGCTCTGGCAGCGGGATCGGGGCCGCCCACACGAGCCGCCTTCATTTGTTCGAACGGCTTTGCGCCACAGCAGCGGGACGAGCTGCCTTCAGCAACGGAGGCCGCCGGCAAGGTAACTAAGCTTGGCTCAAGAGCTTCCGTTCACTTGTCCGCAAAGCTGCTTGGGGCTTTCTCGGGGAATTGGGCATCTTGTCTCCGTGGAGAGAAAATCCCTTTGTCCAAATCCACGGCCGCACACCAGTTTTCCCAGAGGTGCCCAGGTGCATGCAGGGGCCGGGGCAGGGGCCAGGGCTCAATTCACGCGGAGCAGGAAGGCGGTTTAAGAGGAAAGCTGGCGGGCTGCCCGTCGCAGGGTCCATCCGATGACGCGCCACCGGCGTGGCTGCACCCGGGGGCCTCCCCGGCCTCGCCAGTCCTGGCAGGGCCTCGGAGCCACCCTGGCGCAGCACGCCTCTCGCCCCGGCTGGCCGGGGGGTCCTGCCCCCGAACAAGCGGCAGGCCCCACTTGCGAAATGCCACCGACTTCGCTTGCGGGAGCCCCGTGCGCCTTTCCAAGCAGGGACCGGGGCAGGTGGGGTGACCGCTGTTTTTCTAGCCCGGGAGGCCACCTGCGGGCCCCGTGCGGCCGGACGGTGCAGCAGAGGGCTCGGCCCGGCAGCTGCCCTCCTCGGCGGCCTCCCATAATGCTCTGGGTGCTGTCAGTTCGCAGGGGTAGCAACCTGCTGACTTCCATGTGGTTTGAACAGAAGTCCTGAGCAGAGGGCAGGCTTTGCACCACTTTGGGGCACAATCCTGTGCAAGTTTAGTCAGATAAAAATGCTACCGCTCCATGCTGCTTGGGGCAGCGTAGGCCTGCAGGACTTTCTTCCGTCCGCGTGTGCACAAGCGTGCGTGCTCAGGGCTGATATCGCTTGGCTTCTCCCCCGGAGTGTGGCTGAGATTTGACTCTTCTGCAGACCGGCCTGGCAGTGGCCCCGGGAAGCCCACAGTCCCCAAAGGAAGGGGTTGCCATCTCCCCCGAGATTAAGCAGCAGATCCAGCAGCTGGTGAGTGCCCTTTCTTTGCCCCCTTTTCTGAAAACGAATGTCCTGCTGCAGCTTCGGGACAAGCACGGAGCCCGCTCCATGGGCCACCCCGGCTGGCCGGCCCCTCAGGGCGGGCGCTCCACCCAGCGGTGTGAACATCTCTCCGATCGCCCTCTGGTGCCCTCCCTATAGGCTGGACTGTGCATTGGAAAACTATGGGGCTCGCAGCCTAGCCCAGCTGGAGGGATCCGGCCCAGGGAAAGCCGGGCGGACGGCTCCCTCCGCGTCCTCCACCTGGGCCAGTTCTGGGGCTGCCAGCTCTGCCAGGCAGGTTCTGCGGCCAAGAGGCAGCCCTGTAAGGACAGGCCCAATTCCGAAGACAAGCCCCCCCGTGCCACTTGGTACCCGTCGTGTGCTGACAGTCTGCAGCACTGCTTTCTGGCAGTGCATTTGGCAGTGTTCTCCCTCGCTGCCTGGAGGATGCTGTTTGAAAGGCAAAACCCAAGGAGCTGACATTTTAGTAAAAAGAACAGTGCAAAGGACATGGGAGCCATGATGTGCAGAGGCAGTGTGGCGTAGTGGGTGGAGCGTGGGCAGGGTCGTGGGAGATCCCCCCGTCTCCACTCAGCCGCCAAGCTCCCTGGATGCTCTTGGGCCGACCCTTGGCTCTTAGGCTCCCCTGCCTCCCCGAGGTGTTGGGGGATCGCGCGGAAGTGGGGCTTGTGCGAGCTTCCTGGCTTGGCCAGGAGACAGGGCATCGCCCCGGTGAGAAGGCTGGACCGGGACCTAGGAGACCCAGGTCCGAATCGCGGCTCGCCCATGAAGCCTCCCAGGTGGCACTGGGCCAGTCTAGGACTCTCAGCCTCGCCCCCACACATGGGGTGGGAGGGTCGCCTCTGCCGCCGCGGGTTCCGTAGAGGGAAGGCGGAACCTGCCCGGACTGGCGAAATGAAGCCGCGCTGGCATTGGCGCTGCTGCTGGGTTGCGCTGAGAGCTTTTGCTGGCTTTGTGGACCAGGAACGGATGCTGGGGAACCTCTGAGAAGGGACATGTTGGGGCGCCGGCCAGCCTGAATGCGTCTGCTCTGCCACTGGCCAGTGACCTGTGGGGGCACCGCCGAGGCCTGGCCCTGCCCTTGGATTGCCTTCGCTTCTTTTCTTCCTGCTAGGAATCTGAGCTGCGAAAGAAGAGGAAGCAGTGTGAAAACCTTGAGCACGAAGTCAGGAAAAAGCACAAGAAATACGCTGAGCTCGTGAGTGTCCCGCCTCCTTCCTCTGCCGTTGGCCACGCTCCCTGGGGTTCCCACACATGCGCTGCCTCCATTTGCCAGAGGCCGTGCAGGAGGCCGGCTTCTCTAAATCTGAGCAGGAGATTTCTGTCTGTCTTCCGGGAGCCCAATCATTTTGTCCCTTGCCACTTCTCTCAGGGTAGCCAGTCACTTTTAACATGAAAAGACACGATCCTTCTTGCCTTCCGGAACTGCGCGTTTCGGGTCTGGTTGTGTGTTTCTTTAAACGTTCCTGCCTGATGTATCTGCAGCATCATCTCTGTCCCCTTGTAAGGGGCACTGGGACTCTGGCGGGGGAGAGAGATCTCTCCGTGTTCCCCAGAACCCTCCTGTTGCTTTCTCCCCGTGTAGGAAATCCGACTGCAGGACGTGCAGAACAACAATTTCCGGCTGTCTGAGGAGAACAGCCTGTTGCACGGGCAAGTGCGATGGACAGAAAAGGTAAGCGGCCCGGCCGGGTCCTTTCCCCACCGCCAGCCGAGAGCGAGCGGCTGGGAGCAGCCCTGCGGGACTGCAGCTTTGGTACAGCAGCCAGCCCACGTTCTCCACCGAGAGGGGCTGACATGGCCTCAGGTTCGGCCGAAGGCGTGGGTGGCCGCGGGCGCAGCGTCGCAGCCGGGCCGCGCTCACAATTCCTTGTTGCTTCCAAGCGCTTCGCGCCCCCCCACCCCTCCACGTATTGTTCCCAAATGTGTGCAGAGCGCTCCGTGGGCACAAGGTGGAACACGTTTCGGGTGCTTCCCTGAGCCCATGAGCCCTGCCCCTGCTCCCTGCTCCCAGTGCAGGCGCCAGCCCCCCCAGCCCCCCCGAAGCCACCCAGTGGAGCAGTGCAGCGCTCCAGCCGAGGGAGGTGCGTGGCCGCTTTGCGGCGCCGAGCGGCAGGGTGCCGCGTGGAAGGGGCCTCGGCGGAAGCGCGGAGAGAGAGCCCAGCGAGCCTCTCTTCTCACAGGTGGAATCAGAAAACGCTGACCTGAGGCGGCAGGTGGCCGTGGTGACCGAGGAACGCGACTTGGCTCGGCAGGAAGCCCGGGAGCTGCAGAGCAGGCTGGAGAGCCTCGGGCAGGTGCTGGAGGTGCGCTGGGAAGGCGGCTCCCCACGGCTCCTTCGCTGGGCCCCCACTTTGCTGGCGGGGGGCCGGGACCGCAGGGGTGGCGGCAGCACCGTGCGGCATTTCCTGGCGCTTGGAGCCCAGCTCCGCAGAACACAGACCTGGGTGCCATTTCCATAAGTCTCTGGGCAGTTCCCAGGTCACGAGCCGCATTCCCATGAACACAGAAATACATCTTAACGTCAAATTTGTGTGCAAATCAGATCACATATAGCCGGTCCTCCACATTTGTGAGGATTGGGGCACAGGATCCCCATGAAACTGGAAAAACTGCAAATATCTCTAGTCCCGTCTCCACCCAAGCTCATTAGCACCTCCTCTTTGTAGCAAGGAAATGCGGGCGAGGTTTCCTTCCCCAGATGGACCAGGGAGGAAGGCCTCGCTTTCTCCCCGTCCTTTTCCTTCCTCTGTGGTGATACTTCAGCAGTCTTCCCCCCCGCCCCATTTGCTTCCTTCTTCACTCTCCTTTCGCCTCCCCTCTCTTCATGGTAATGACAATTTTCTGCAATTATTTTTGGAATTAATAGGCTTTAATGGCAATTTGTTCATAAGTATGGGTTGCTCATAACTCAGATGTTCATTACCCATGGATTGCCTATATATGGAAACTTTAATTTCCCAGGGGCAAAGCCATCTCGCCAGCCATTTCCCAACTTCTCCCTCCACCAACTCACTTCTTTCTCCTTTCCTCTTAGAGGAAAATTGTCCCACTTCATGCAGTTAAGGAAAAAAACACCTTTTGCTTGCACAAGTAGAGGTCTCCTCACCGCCTGTAAACTTGCTTGCCATGTGGCGTGGCAGGAAGAGGGAGTCCAGCTTATGGGAGGAGGTGGTTCGGTCCTCCCCCCCACCCCCCAGCAGTGATCACCCTTGACACAATTTTCACTGCTGACAAGCTACAAGAAAGCCGGTGTCCATGCCCATCCGGGGGCACTTGGGGCTCTGGCTCTGGGCCCCACAGACCCAGCTCTTCCTCTTCACTCGCTCCAGAGCAGGCGCCGTCTTCACCCCTCCGTCGCGGCTGCCCCCATCCGCCTTCCCTCATCTCTGCCCGGGGCCCCTTCCCCAGTCCCACCATCCCTTCCCTTGCAGCGCACGAGAGAAGTGGCGGAGCGCAGCCGGCAGCTGGAGCGCGAGCACGAGGAGGCCCTGGAGGCCCTGCGGGAGAAGCGCGACGAGGTGCACCGGCTCCGGCAGGTGCAGGATCCCACCGTGGGGAACCCATCCTCCTCCTGGGTCGGGCCACTCATGCGTGCCCCTCGGCCGTGGGGGCTCGCAGCCGGAACAGCCTCCTGGCTCCAGGAGGCAGCAGGAGGGGTGGGCATGTTGGCGCAGAGTCGCTGGGGCAGCTCCACCGTCGCGCAACTGCCTGAGCGTCCTGGAAAGCAGCAGGGGGTTTTGCTTTTGTGGAACGGACTTCCAGTCCTTCCTGCGGGAATTGCCTTCTAGACACATTCCTCGGAGCAGGGGGCGAAGCGGTCTCCACGGTCCCTTCCGACTCTGATCGCACCCATGCCCTGGCCTACGTTCCACCTCGCCGTGCCGTGTTCCCGTGCTCACGGAGGCACTGGTGCTCCCCAGAAAGAAGCTTGGCCCCCCAACCCGTTTCTTTCCTCTTGGTCCCAGGCCCAGGAGGAAGCAAGGAGCTCACACGAAGGAGCCGTCCAACTCTTGGAGGTAAGAGGAGGACTGGAAGCTCCACAACACCAGCCTGGAGAAAAGTTGGGTGTCCGCATCTCCCCAAGTAACCAGCTGGGACTCTGCTCTTCTTGCCATCTGGCGCTCAACAGGCCCGGGTGAGGGAGCTCGAGGATCAGTGCCGAAGCCACGCGGAGCAGTTCAGCTGCCTCTCCCAGGAGCTCCGGTGGTTTCGCCTGCATGCTGGGAAGACGGATCTCCTGCTCCTCTCTCCACCTCCATCCCTGGAGACCTCGGGGGCTGCCTTCACGGCCTGCCCGTCAGGCCCACCGCTGCCGGACGGCTCGAAGGAGGAAGGTAGCTATGCAGCGGGAGTCCTTCCCGAGTGCGTCCCTCTTGCTTGCCTTGGGCTCAGCTGAACGATTCAGAAGAAAGAGGAGAAGAGGAAACTTGCCTTCTGGCTTTTTCCAGTCACCCCTTCTCACCCTCAATTGATCAGCTGATGATTTGTACCTGCCTTTCTGCTAAGACTCCTGCGAGTCCCTTGGACTGCAAGGAGATCAAATCAGTCAGTCCTAAAGGAAATCAACCCTGACTGTTCTCTGGAAGGACAGATCCTGAAGCTGAAGCTCTGACACTTTGGCCACCTAATGAGAAATACAGAAACAGAGCGAGGCGGAAGGGGTCTCCCGGGCCATCCAGTCTGACCCACAGCTCCAGCCGGCTCTGCTCACGACACGCCCACCATGTGGACGTCCAGCCTGTCCTTGAGCACCCACACCAGTGGGGCCTCAGTCACCTCCTGTGGAAGGAAGGGCTCATTGGAGAAGACCCTGACGCTGGGAACGATTGGAGGGAAAAGGAGGAGGGGACGGCAGAGGATGAGATGAGATGAGATGGCTAGATGGCGTCTCTGATGCAGAGAACATGGATCTGGGTGAACTGCAGGGTTAGGGTTAGGTTGAAACTTTTAGGGTTAGGGCCTGGCAGGCTGTGGCCCGTGGGGTCACAAAGAGTAGGGCACAACTTGGCGATGGAACATAACATAACTTTCTGCTAAGAAAGGTGTCACTCGGCACAACTGACAATCATAAATAAAACTTGAGCGAGGGAGCGATCCTGCGGGCTCCTGACTTGGATAATTGGGGTTCCCAGCTCTGAGGTCGGAGCCAGAGGTCTGACCTCAGAGCTGCAGCTTGGAGCCCCCCTGCTGAACACTTGCACGGTGGACACCGAGAGATCCGTGCCAGCTGTCCTCCAAGATCTGCCAGCACCTTCAGGGAAGCGGGGGCGGGGGAAAGGGAGCACAGCCCCTGTGAACAGAACCATGAGGACTGGAATCTTAGTTTATTTCTAGGGGAAAGAACTCCAGCACAGAGCACCCGCCAACGGTGCCAGCTCACATCTGAGTAGGGCTCAGGAAGACCCTTGTCCGATGCCCTGGAAAGGCTACCCGTTCGTTCTGACTCTACTGAGCTGAGGGGAGCAGGTATAAGGCAGATGCTCATGTTCTTCTGCAGGGACCTGAGAGGCAGCCTCCGTCCGAAAGTGGGGAGTCCTCCTGTACCTTGGCACAGGAGGGATTTCAACGATTCCATTGTCTCTGAAGCACAAACATTTACTAGCTTTGAAAGATTTCCCCCCAGAGAAACGGAAGTCGAAATCCTGCCGCCTGTGCGAATAGCCAGAGGGCACATCGCTCCGTGGTCACCTGCCCTGCCCGCTCCGTGTTCCTCCGCTTAATGCACACGGCTTGCTTTCAGGTCCAGAAGACGTCCCTGAGTCTCTGCAGCGCAACAGGAAGGTGCGGGATGATGAGGCGGGGGGGTTCTCCCAAGCGACGCCTCTGCTGGCCGGTCCAGGGTTGCCCGCCGTGGCCAGAAGTCCAGGCACAGGTGTCCCTCCGCTTGCATCCAAGAAGGCAGCCAAGAAGCCAGAGTCCCAGTCCAGCTCCTCGCGGTCCGACTCCCCCCAGAACAGCCCCAAATCTTGCTCCACTCCTGAGGTGAGTCCTGGGCTTGGGAGCAAGTTGCCAGCTGCTCATTTTGAAAAGCCCGTCTTAGGCATACTGCTTGTAAGGATGTGCAGAGGGCTTTGTCCCCCTGTGTTAAGGGCACAGTGCACAGAGCATGAGCAGAGTGCATCCTCCCCATCAAGGGAGCCGGTCTCTTATTTAAAAAGTGTGAATGAAAGCAATTGATTTCAGGCATGGTCAACAGCAGGGCAAAGTGCGCAGCGCAACTGGGCCTCCGAGCTGCCCCTTCCGGCTGAGACGCGCCTCGTTTTGCCTGCACGCACCCCGCAGCCCTTCTGCCCCGGGTCCTCCCTTGAAGGCACCGCAGGGAGATGCCTGCACCTGCTTGTGCGCACTGGGGTGCCCCATCCTGCTAACGGAGGTGCTAACTTTAGTCAGTAGAATTGCCAAGTGCTGGCTAGTTCGGGTGGGTCCACACTGGCTGAGGAGGTCACCTTTTATTGGCGGCATCGGGAGCTAAGAGCTGACTGGGCAGGCCCTTTGCTCCCAGCATGTTCCGTTAAGGTGGGACGTGAAGAAAAGAGCCTTCTCCCGGCTTCTCCTCTCGGCAGCAAGGGCCGTGATCTCGCGCTTCCAGTGGAGGTGCTTGTTTGTAATGCGCACCTCAGCTGGGGTCACACAGGTTAACGGAGCGAGAGCTTTCCCAGGGCTGGTCCATGGTGGCTTAGAAGAGCCCCCGTGGTCTCCCTGGAACTTGTCAGGGGCCCCGCTCGGGAAGGCCCTTCCCCAGCCCCCCTCTGCACCATCCCTGCAGGGTGGCAGGCGGGCAGGTGCCGGAGTGGCTGGCAGAGCCATCCTGGGCGGCCCCCCCCGCCGCTCCTCATGTTCTGCCACTCCCCAGGTGGACACGGCCAGTGAGGTGGAGGAACTGGAGGTCGACAGTGTCTCGCTGGCTCCAGAGACCACGATCCACAGCCCGATGAAGCTCCGCGTCTTCCTGGCGCGATACAGGTGGGGTCGCCGTGGCTGTAAGCTGGGGGCCTGGTCTCCCTCCCCTTTTGGGCAGTCTCAGGGGGATGCCCCCTTTCCAGGCAGGACTGAGTTGCTCCCCAGAGCTGGGTGGGTCCCGTTTCTTGTGCAGAATACCCACCCAAGGCTCAGGTCGAACTAGCCCGTGACCTCGCAGAGCCGCTGTGCCCGGCCACGAGGCCTGACCTGCTTCCCCAAGGCAGCCGGGGCGCTGGCTCCCTCCCAGCTTTGTGGCCTCCTGCTGGACGGACTGCCTACCCTGAAATGCAGCACGGGCAACGGACACACTGCCCTCTCCTGCTGCAGGGATGCGCGCAAAGTGCTGCCTTGCTCTCGCGACTCTTTGGGCAGGCTCACGCTCTCGTGCTCCTAACCCGAAGGCTGTGCAGTGATTCTGCATGTGTGAAGGAGGCGCCGCTCTCGCCAAGGAACCTGCCGGGCGCCCTGGCGATGCGCATGTCCTCTGGGCTGGCGCAGGCAGGCGTCTTCCAGCCCCAGGCAGCCAGTGGCTGGGTGTCTGGACTTCTCCCTGGGCTCTGAATGGCCTGCCCTTGCTTCTGAAGCAGAGCTGTCGCCTTCAGGATTCTCCATCGCCTTTTTTTCTTTTGGCAATCTGGACTTTGCACAGTGGCCTCTTCCGTGTCGGCTTCTCCCTGCCCCTTCCTCCCCCGTCTGTGGCCAGTGCGCTTTGCAAAGTCGCAGCCGTGGTGAGCCGGTTCGTGTCCGCCGTGCCCGGGCACCGTGGAACAGGCACGGGGGGGGGGGGCTGATCCCACGAGCTGCCTTCTCGTGATGTGTTTCATCAGGACGCAGATGATGCGTCTTCGCAACACTGAGGTTTTTAATGGCTTCCTGGAGGAAGGTGCAGTAGCCAGAGGACATAGGAAGCGAATGGGGACCCTTTCAGTTGCTGGGCCTCGTGTGCCTGCGAGCGCATCCTGAGAGGGAGCAGGCCGACACCATCGGCTGCCTCTCCACAGCTGTGACCTTCCAGTGTCTGCCTCCCTTGCAGCTACGACCCTTTTGATGGCCCAAATGAGAACCCGGAGGCAGAACTGCCACTGACGGCGGGAGAGTACATTTATGTCTACGGAGAAATGGACGAGGACGGCTTCTTTGAAGGTACGGCATGCCGTGGGGCAAGGCATCGCTCAGGAGGGGCGCTGGTCATTTGCGGGAGGCCGGGAGAGCGGCCGGCACAAGAGCGGGAGAAGGCAGCAACCTCCCACATGCCGGAGGGAGTGCCCCATCCCCTCTCCTGGCGGAGGCCTTGCTTGCTTCAGCAGGTGCCCCTGGAGAGTGGGACGGGGGGGGGGGCTCCCTGTGATTCAGGGGGCCACATGGCAGGCCACCCCATCACCCCACCGCTGTGGGCCTCAGGGAGCCTCCGCAGTGAGAGCCGGTCTGTCGCTGAGGACTGGAGGCAGGGACACGTGGCCTTCGTGCCCGCTGGTGTGCCCAGAAGGCGCTGCACGGCCACTGCTGTCAGGAGCGGGACGCCGCCGCCGGGCCACCGCCGGGGAGCGCCTGACCCCCTCGATGCGGCACTGGCTACTGGCCCGCCTCTGTGCCCCCTTCGGAGTGTCGCCGAGGCCCTGTGTGGCTTGGGCTCCAGCTGGCTGCTCCGGGACTGGGTGCCAGTGGGGAGGGCCGTCTCTTGGCACTGCCGCCTTCAGGGGGCTGCTGGCAGGGACTCAAGCGCGGCCTTCCGGGTGGCCGCTCCCAGCCTGCGAAAGCCCTTGCTGAGGTCAGTGGGTGGCCACCTTCCCCCCGCAGGCACGATCTTCCGGCGTGCCTTTGGGCCACGCGCCGGTCTGCCGATTCGGCTGGGCCTGCGTGTTCCGCATGCCGCTCTCTTTTGCTGCGCTGGTGCTTATGCTGCGCTTGAATCTGTGCTCTGCCTCCAAATCTGGCTTTTCGAGGAGGGCCAGTTTTGGGCAGAGAGGCAGGCCATGCACTGAACAGGTGAACGGGGCCCCTGCCAGACGGACCTTCGGGGCCCCTCTGGCAGGGCCGCTCTGGCATCCCGAACACTTTTCATCCCGACAGGAGAGCTGGTGGATGGTCGGAGGGGCCTGGTCCCCTCTAACTTTGTGGAGCGCATCTCGGACGCTGACCTCGTGACCCCCGTGTCCCCCGAGCTGCAAGATCTCTCTCCGGGCTCGCCCCTTGAGCGGAGCTTCCTCAGCCCGAGCATCAGCAGTGGGGGAAGAAGCGACTGGTCGACGGAGGAGCCGAGCTGCAGCGCGACTCCCTCATGGCCGGCAGGGCCCCCAGGGGAGGGCGGCGCCCCCCGGGCAGTGCCTTGCCCCAGAAAAGTGACGCTGCTCGAGCGGAGCGGAGGCGGCCTCGTGGTGGGGTGGGAGCCCCCCTTGCCGGCCCCTGGCGCCCCGGCCATCCAGAGCTACAGCGTCTACGTGGACGACGAACTCCGCCAAGCCACCGAGGCCGGCGCCCCGACCAGGGCCGTGCTCGAGGACCTGGACCTGGAGAGCCGCAGCTACCGGGTCTCGGTGCAAAGCGTGTCTGAGGGCGGGCGCTCCAACGGGCTGCAGTGCACCGTCTTGGCGGGGCGTGACGTCGCCCTGGCCCCGAGCCGGCTCACGGCGCGCAGCCTCACGGCCATGTCGGCGGAGGTCTGCTGGGCGCCCTGCAGCAGCAACTTCCCGCACACCGTGTACCTCGACGGAGAGGAGTGTGGCACGACGAGGGCCGGCACCCATCAGTACACCTTCCGCTGCCTGCAGCCGGACACTTCCTACGTGGCCGCCGTGGAGGTCCGGCCTCAGCCGGGGTCCCGGGAGCCCGCCCTGAGCGAGCCGGACCAGCCGCTGTCGGCAGAGATCCGCTTTACAACGCCCCCCGCGGGTGAGTCGCCCCGCGGTGGCTGGAAGTGTTGACGCGGGCAAGCGGCGGGGCTGCGTTTGCTTCTCTGCTCAGGTCATGCTTTTTTCTAAGGGAAACCCCGAACGGAGCATTAGTAAATGCATTATCCTCCGTTCCCCATAAAACTAAGAGAGTGATGTACATGCACCGGGAGGCCTGTTGTGAGTGGAGCCGGTCAGATTGGAAGGCTTGCTCTGTTTCTGTGTGTCTATGTAGGGTGCAGAGAGAATAATGCAGGCAAATCATGCATATTCTATAGGATTTTTTAAATCACAAAAATAAGAAATTCATCAACCGAATAAATGTTTCCACGAAATCCCGTGAGATGCAGGTGAGGGCATCATGCCTATGGCCAGGTGGGTGCATGCAAGGGAGCGGCGCGGTGTTGCGTCTCTTTTCGGCTGGCCACCACTTCAGTGCGGCCGCGTGCCAAGGAGCTGGTCCATTAGCCATGTGGCTAGTCCTTTGAGCCTTACAGGCCACAAACCCTTCCTGGAGGGCGCAGAGAGGTCGAGATTCCACCCGAGAGTGGCTGAGCTGGCATCCAGTTCTTCTTGTGTGTGACTCAACTTAGCCTGTGCCCCGCTGGCATGCTGCTCTGAATTCTTCTGTTCCCCCCAGTGGCACCCCAGAAGGAACAGAGCCAAGGAGGGCCAGTCCTCGTCCTCTCCTCTCCTGTCCTGCATGTAATTATGGAAGGTTCTCCTCCCCTTCCTCGCCCGCCGGGCTCCCGAGCAGCTTACAAGGGAAAGGCGGCATGCGCCCAGGAGGGCCGGGGCGGCTGGCGTGCCCGGGAGCCGCGGGTCGCGGGTGCCGCGTAGCCAGTGCCGGCTTGGACACGTCGAGCCATCTGCGGCCTCGGACAGCCGTGCCGGGGAAGCGCCCCGCTCGTGTCTGCCTGGAAGGGGGTTTAGCACCCGTGGCCTTCCTCCGAGTCCCGCCTCCGAGGGAGGCTCAGGGGGCGGCCAGGGGAGGGGGATTCCTCAGTGCTGGCCCCCGGTCGCAGCGCAGTCTCCCCACTGACACCGGCCTCGTGCCCAGTTCTGTTGCCTCTCCACCACCAGGCGGAATGCCCTCTTCTCCCTGGCATTCAAGGCCACGGTGGGGCATTTATATTTGCTGTTTCAAGCACCTTCCACGGAGATGCTTTCAGCTGCTGTTCTGTTGTAAAATCTGGTATATTCAAAGATGGTCATGCTGCATTTTATTACAACTGTGGATCATGTTTCGAGGAATCGCTGAGAACCCAGCAGCGAACTTTGGCTACTGAGTGTTCCAGAATTGAAATGGGGAATCCACATGTTGAGATGCCGCTGCCCTCAGGGTGCTGTGCAGTGAGCACCCCAGTGGCCACCGAACTCACGCCCTCTTACTGGTGTCGCAGACGAACCGGCTGAGCTCTGTGCAGAAGAAGGTGCTGGTCTAAACTGGGTCTCATCCCTCACTTACCGGTTGCTCAGGCAGCATGGAAACGATGGCCAGGCAAGGGAACGATCCCCAGCGCGGCTCACGAGGCCTTTCCCTGTCTTCCTGCAGGGTCTCCCGATGCTCCGCTGGATGTCCGAGTGGAGCCCGGCCCCATGCCTGGCATCCTGGTCATCAGCTGGCTGCCGGTCACCATCGACGCTGAAGGGTCGTCGAACGGGTTGCGGGTCACCGGCTACGCTGTGTATGCTGACGGGCAGAAGGTACTGGGCCTGCACGGGGCGCTGTCGCTGGGGCAGTCCTTCTAGGGGGCTGCGGGCCTAGGAAAAGTGTGTATTGAAGAAAGCGCACAGGTGGGGCTCTTCGGCATGAGTGGTCTTGTGCGGCCAATTTCCTGCTTCGGCTGGATAGAACGAGACTGCGCACAGGTCAGTTGCAAAAGAGGAAGCGCCCACCTGCCCTGGAGAGGCCCCGGTGAAGGGGGAAGAGTCAAAAGAAGGTGCGCTTTCTTGAGACTGAAAACCACCAAGGAACCAGCAGTGGTCCTTCTGAGGGGGGGCACCTGGAAATGTGAGGATGAAAGGAGGGTTGTGTCCAGCCATTCTCGGCAGCCTGGCATGAACCCTGCTGGGTTCCCATGAAGTAACGAGCTATCCTGGCCAGGAACAACCCAAAACAAGCCGGGGGGTGGTTGCCAGGCTGCTCGCTGCCAAAGACACACGCCGTGCAAGAACCGCAGCAGGTTCAGATGGTGCTGACCGCCCACGGTGGGTTGTGCTGACCCAGCTTAGAACACAGTGAATTGAATTCAGGGTGGGTGCTGCTGCCTGTCTTGATCTCTCTGTGGTTGTCAAGCTTTTTAGATTTATTATTTATTTATCAGGGTATTTCTAACCCATCCACTACTGTATGTCTCTGGACAGCTTACAATAAATCACCCAATAAATACATCATAAATGCATCATAATCATAATAACCCATGACTGAGAATAAAAATGTAATTCAAATATTTAAACTTTAAAATACTGGTTAAATAAAAAGGTCTTGACCTGCCGCCAAAAAGCATATAGATCAAGTCCATCCCATTTCTGCATAGGCTTGAGATCTTTCTTAAAAACTAGAGGTACAGAAATCCATACGCTTTGTTCATAATGGGCATTTCAGCGTGTGGCTTTTTGGGTGCATTTTAAGTGTGCACCTTCTGGACCCATCCAGGCATCAATTCAAGTGTGTTTGTACACCTTTTGGAAACATGCCTGCTCCTCTGCGCCCTTTTCAAATGGGAGAAGCTGCTGAGAGTAGTTTTCTCGGCTTAGGGCAAGATGCGGCAAGCGCTGTGGTGTACGGATTTCCGCTTGCAAGCAGTACTCGGATCCCTTTTGGGTCCAGGAGGTGTGAATTGGGTGGATGGGTTTTGGGAACCCTCGGCAGAATGAATTTCCCAGACATCCCTCACTGAGCAAGATCGCTAACCGACAGACGCGGCGTCTTGCATGTGTGGATCGGGGGCCCTGTGGGGCCGCCGCTGGCCATGGCGTTCTGGGGGCTGCTGACGCGCACACGCTTGGTGGGCGGCAGGACAGAGAGGGCTCCCCGAGGTGCGTCCGCCTTCCCGGCAATTCCTGCTGGTTTCCTTGCTCTGTGCCGCAGGTGATGGAGGTCACCTCCCCCACGGCGGGCAGCGTCCTCGCGGAGGTGTCCCAGCTGCAGATCCTCCAGGTGTGCCGGGAAGTGTCCGTCAGAACCGTGTCCCTTTACGGCGAGTCGGCAGATTCGGTCCCGGCGCAGCTCCCATCGGCCTCGCCGGAAGTCAAGGGCTGTCCTGCGCGCTCCAGCTGCAGCTGCCTGGCTGCTCAGCTCTCGCACGGGCCGCCGCGGGCCTTGCTCACCACGCCAGCCTCCCAGGCCTGTGGGACGGAGCCCTCCTCCGCCACGGGCCGTTCCGTTGCCAGATCCACCCCTCAGGCAAGCCCCTGCGAGACGCCTGTGGAAGCCTCCTTGAATGGCTGCCCCTCTCCCACGAGGACGCCTGCGCCTCCTGCGACACTGTCAGACGCAGAAGCGGGCACCCCTCCGGGAGAAGAAGGGCCCCCCGCAAGCAGGACGATGTCTGAAGATCCAGCCATCTTCAGCAAGGCGGCCCAGGACCAGCCCGGAGAGGACAGGCAGGTACGCCTGGGGTGCATCTGCGAGAGCCAGGCCACTCTTTCCTGGGCTCTGGGCAGCAGGCGAATCAAGGCTGCAGATTGAGAGGGGTGGAAGGAAGCAGCACGGTGTGGGGCTTCACCCACTGCCTGCAGCAGGGGCAGCCTGGGGCTGAGTGCTTCCCCCGCCGCCCCAGCTGCACCACGGGGTTCTTGTGCAGGCAGAACGGGGCCCTTCTCCTGCACGCCCCCAGGGAATGTTGGGTGTGAGAAGCAGCTGGTCTGCGATGCTGCACTCGACTGATCCCCGTTTAGTGCCGGGAGCCCCAGTCGCCAGCCCACAGGGCAAGCCACTTTGGCCTCCTGGCTGAATTCCTCCGGTCTGTGGGATCCTGCTGCTGAATCCTTCACTCTGCTTATGGCTTCAAATTTCTGTAGATACGGCCTGTTGCTGGGTGAGGGGATTGATGGGAAGGAACGGATCTGGCCTGTGAGCGGGGAGATACTAAGCCAGATTGGCACTCTTGCTCTCCATCTTTATACAGTCCTAGCCAGTCAGGGATCCCACTGAGAACATGATGTCATTGGGATTTCAGCAGAGAGCCAATGAGGGGATGTAAGGCCCCTGGCTGTCCATGGAGCATGGGTGGAACGGGTTTAGCAGAGCCTATGCACCCCGCCCCCCCACCTCCGCCACTGGAACCACCCAAAAGATTGCTGAGAAGAAGGGAAAGGGTCCTGTGTGGACAGAAGGGCTGGTGAAAACCAGCCCCCAAAGTGCTGTTCTTAACCGCCACCTTCCATGAGGTCATCCAAAAAAATACTGAACAAGTCATTGCACCGTATGACCGGCCAGTGCATGACTGTAGGAGTGTCAAACCTCGGCTCTGCAGGTCAAACCCAACCAGCCAGGGATCCTGGTCCACTGGGGTCCCCCAGGGGGCCTGCCCCTTTCCCCCCATGGCCAAGCGTGTTTTCGGGTTTGTGGGCACAAATGTTCCCCCCAGTTTGCTGCAAATAGTTGCAGCTAAGCTATGCTGGGATTTGGGGTGATTTTGCCCCACAGCTCTGCCTTTGGCCAAATGGCACCGGGCCCCTGCGCCCCCATGCTTCCCCCCATCATGTCCCCAGCACCCCCTTCCCAGTCATGCTCATGCCGGGCAGCTGGAGCCTTTCCTCACGTCGTAACGCCTTTGCCAGGGGCAGCTCCTTGTGGCCCAGCAGCCAGATCCGGGGGTCCCAGGCGGCAGCGCCAGTGAGCAGCAGAGCCCGGCCTGCTCCTCCATGGACCAGGGAGCGAAGGAGTCGCCTGCCCAAAGAGGGGTGGAGAGCGAGCCAAGCAGCCCGGGGGCAAAGTCGGCACCCCCCAGCAGGCCTTCGGGGCCAGGAGAGAGTCGTTCTGCAGAACTGGGCCAAAGCGAGCGGCACAGCCCAGACTCCACGGCTGCGTCTCCCGCGAGAGTCAAGCTCCTGAAGGAAGTCCCCAGGGAGGACTCCGCAGCGCTGACGTCGCGGGTCAAGAGAGAGGTCCGTGTGCCTTTGTTTGAAGGGTTCGTTTGAGTTGCAGAGCCCAAAGCGCAGTAACCTCATGCAGGATGCGGTGGGAGGCAGACCGGTGGACATGATTTTCCTCCTTTGGACAGCAGCTATTTACCCAGCCTTCCCGGAGCGTTCAAACGCAATCCCAAAATGCATCCAGTACTGCTCAGGAGCCAGGCCGTTGACGTGCAACGGCAGGCAGCACGTGGCTGCCTTTGATAGCTGCTCATGCAATGGCCAGCATCCGCCTGTCCAGGGCAAAGACTTGAGTCTGCCGGGCAGCTGCTGTGCCACAGCAGCGGGTCTTTGTGATTCACAGCTGACATGCAATAGTAGCCGGAGTCTGACGGCAGATCTGATATTTGATGCCTCCTGCAAAAGAATGCTGTCACAAGACGCTTTCTTTTCTGACCATTAAGCTCTTGTAGGAAACCTTTTGACACAAGAACAAGAGCAGAGGGATTGCTTTGAATCCTTGTATGCCAAGAGGACTGAAGTGTTCGAATGGCCACTTTTCAGATGAATGCTCATGAGTGTTTGAATAAGGGAGGTGGGTGACTCTTGCAGCTTTTACAGGAATTGTCCATAATGGTGAACCTGTTTGGGGGATGGAGCTCAGCGCTCTGGATAGCTTTTGCCAGCTCAACAGAAAAGCTGCACTGGATTAGGAGCCTAACTTAGGAGTCACCGGTCTTCACCCTTGGGTGGCAGCCTGGGAATTCATCAGTCCAGGGACAGCCTGTGCAGGGGCTTAATTCTCTGCCAACAGGAATACTGAATTTCTTTAGCAGGGAGAGAAGCGATCTGATCCGGGGAACCATCCAATGAATCTCCTGGCTGACCACAGCCGGGGCTCTGACCTCTCTGACATTATGGAGGAAGAGGAGGAAGAGGAGGAGGGAGAGGAGGAGGAAGAGGAAGAGGAAAAAGAGTTGCAGCACTCCGGCAGGCAGGGAGAGGCCAGATGGAGCCTGGGTGAATACCACGGCAGAGAAAACGGAGAGAAGGTACTTCTGCCTGACTGCGGCCACCTGTCTCTTTCCAAGCACAGAAGCCAACCAGACAGACTGTTGAATCTCCCTCCAACACAGGAGATGGGGCAGTTTTCTACCCCACTTGAAAGCTACAGCATAATTTAGGGGCGCGGGGCAGGCTGCACAACACACACACAGAGGTTTTGAGCAACATGATAGGGTTGAATATGTGTTGTGTGTGGGTTGTTGAACCATGCTGATCCATGGTAACCATGAACAACCCACAAAGAGAAACTGTGGCTTATTCTTATGTAGTGAACTGGGGCTTGTTCACCATGGTTTGTTAATCATAAACAACCCCCAGTTCACAACACAGCAACAAACTGTGGACTCTCTTCATGGGTTGTTCATGGTTAATGGATCTGGGTTTGCTAAGTCAGATGCGTTGAGACCACATGAGAACCCATGTTTCAGCCAACACTCGATTCCTCCTTGACTGGCGAGTGTCAGTTGCCAGGCTGTCTGACCGCAGATGCAGCTCCTTCCCTTCACCGCCGCCTCCCGGCATTTGTCGCCTGAGGCAACCGATCTGGTTCCCTCCGCCTTGGGGTAGGGCTGCCTCTGTTGCTCATAATGAGCTGCTTGTCTGTTCTTGCTGCTACTGCTAAGCCAAGCAGATCCACAAGTCCCCGGCCCTGTCCCGAGTGGAGCCTGCAGAGCCAGGCTGTGCGAGGAATCGAAGGACTGCCGTGCTGGATCAGCTGTTTGCAGTCAGGGCGAGAGGGCGAGGCCAGGGCAGGGGGAGCCCACTGCCGGAGGGGGCCTGCTGATGGGGCCTTGCAAAGGGCCCCTGAAAGCTGGAGCACAGTCTAAGCCAGGGTAGACTGTGCTTGTCAACTGAAGCTTTGTTGAACTGTCCCCAGCCGCTGGACCTGACAGATCTGAGCTCCCCTGACTCCCCTTTTGAACACATCCAATCCAACGGCCACCCCAGCCCATCTTGCAGCCGTGAGCCATATGAGTGAGCCAAGCCTGCAATCCCAACGGTGCAGGACCTTTTCCTGCCTAACGTGCATCATGTTGCACCTTAAATATCGTGTCGGGGACGGTTTCTTCAGCAACCTTCACTGCTGCCAGTATGACATCACGGTCGGAGGAGATGCAGGCCTGCCTGTGCTCTCTCTCCTCGTTGCTCACCCAGTTATAAACGCGCTAGTGGTTGTCTTCCGACCTGCCAACTCCCCATGCCCCCAGTTGCCTCCTTTTAGGGGATATGCTGTGCCCAGATTGCCATCTACAATATCCTTTTTCACACACTGCAAGTAGCTCTTGGTAGAACTGCAGCAAAGATTTCCAGAGTGGAGTTTTGACCACTGCCGTTTCATTTCCTGGAAGCATCTTCTGCAAGGGGAGAGGCCACCTGGAATGTCACGTGACGCAGGCTCCAGCGCTGCCCGTGCAAACGGCCGAGCAACCGGCCCGGGAGGTGCCCCCACCTCCCTCCCGTGTCCCGGACTCACTGTGCCTCAGGCAGGTGTTTCCGGACCAGCTGTGGCCGGGCCGCTCCACTCGTGCGGAGGAGAGGCGACGCCGATGGAAGCTGGCCTCCCCGTTGCACGCCCTGCACCAGTTCAGGAACTCAGCACCGGGGGGGGGGGGGTTCAGGAGTTCTCCTCCTGGAATTTCTTTGGAGGAGTCGTGGGTCTCCGGCTAGGGATGCTGCAGTTGCCACAAAGGCCACAGGCTGCCCGCTGCTGCTCCAACCTTGCCTGATGTTCTTTTCGGTCTTGACGCACCTCTCAGGAAGAGCACTGCTCCAGCTGTGCGCCTCCCAGCGGCCTCTGCGCTGCGCTTTTGACAAGCCGAAGGGCTCTTTTGGGCTCTTCTGCGTCACCTCCCGAGGGCTGTGCCTGGATTTCGGCCCACTGGCCGGCAGAGTCCTGGCAAGGCTCCATCAGGGCGATTTTGTTGTTGTTGTTAGTTGTGAAGTCGTGTCCGACCCATCGCGACCCCATGGACAACACTCCTCCAGGCCTTCCTGTCCTCCTCCATCCCCCGGAGTCCACTTAAGCCCACACCCACTGCCCCAGGGACCCCATCCAGCCACCTCATCCTCTGCCGCCCCCTTCTTCTTTTGCCGTCCATTGTTCCCAGCATTACGCTCTTCTCCAGGGAGTCCTTCCTGCTCATTAGGTGGCCAAGGTACTTGAGTTTCATCTTCAGCATCTGGCCTTCTAAAGAGCAGTCAGGGCTGATCTCCTCCAGGGCTGACCGGTTTGATCGCCTTGCGGTCCAAGGGACTTGCAGGAGTCTCCTCCAGCGCCACAATTCAAAGGCCTCAATCCTTCGGCGCTCGGCCTTCCTTACGGTCCAGCTTTCACAGCCATGCATTGCAACTGGGAAAACCACAGCCTTGACTATGTGCACTTTTGCCGTGCCCTGGGGCCCTTCGGGTGCCAGCCTCTCACGCCTCTTTCTCTCTCCCCCGCTCCTGGCCTCGGGGCTGCAACGCAGCTGGTCCTCGGAGACCCGGACAGCGACGAGGAGCTCCTGGAGCGCGTGGTGGAGGCGCCGTCGCCGGCGAGCCGCAGCAAGGCCCTCTTCAGCATCCCCGAAGTGGCGGAGGAGGAGGAGGAGGACGACGACGGCTGGGCGCCGGCCCCAGGCAGCCCACGTGCCCCGAGCCCGCCGGGGAGCAGGGCCGCGGGCAGCCTCCCGGAGGCGGCGCTGGGCCCCCCGCGGCGGACGGAGGCTCCGCGCCCTCCCCTCCCCAGGGCTCGCCA